GGGCATTTATGCAAAAACTAAGAAGTTTAAAAGTGAACATCAAAATAGACATTCATACACCATTCGATAGAGAATTCAAAGGGCTACATTTTACACTATTTATATTTGGAAAAAGAACAAATCGACTTTTTCGATTAATGTCCGCTTCGATGCCGACTGTGTGGGAAATACTCGGAATTACTAAGAATTCCGGAATTTCTGCTACTACCAGCACCAAATGTGACTTTACTTGTATGATTGCAACTATAGAAGTAAGTATGAAGGGGAAATTCCGGGGAAGTCCTTCAGAATGGAATAGCTGGGAATTACTCGGTATTCCACAATTCGTACCACTCCCAGCACAAAATGTGACTTAATTTGTATGATTGCAACTACACAAGCAAGTCTGAAGAGTAAATTCCGGGAAGTCCTTGACGCCGGAATAGCTAGGAATTACTCGGAATCACTAGGAATTCCGTAGTTCATACCACTAGCAGCACCAAATGTGACTTAACTTGTATGATTGTAACTACAGAAGTAAGTCTGAACCGGAGTTCCTGGAAGTCCTTCAGAACGGAATAGCTGGGAATTACTCGGAATTCCGCAAATCGTACTACTACCAGCACAAAATGTGACTTTACTTGTATGATTGCAACTACACCAGTAAGTCTGGAATTCCGGGAAGTCCTTCAGAACGGAATAGCTAGGAATTACTCGGAATTAGAGCTGCACAACATACTTGGAACCCTATTACCAGCACTGAACATTCGATTACTTGTTTGATTAAAGCTGCACAATTAATTCTGAACCGGAGTTCCCGCAGTTCCATGAGTTCCTTGTGTAGGGGTTGTCTATGAATTACTAGAAATTCGTAATACTACCAGCACTGAATATGCGTGTACGTGTGTGACTGGAAGTCGAAACTTATTTTGAACCAAAAGTTCCAGAATGCCAGGAATTGCTGTGGGACGGCATCGCTCTGATTTACTCGAAATTAGTAGGAGTTGGTTGGAAGTCTGAAATGCCTTCTGGACGTAGTGGGTTGTAATTGCTCGGAATTACTAGGAGTTACTATGAATGCTTGGGTGTACTGGAATTTTCGAGGAATTGAGGGATCTAGTGGAATAAATATTCGTGTGCTTGTTGTTTGAAGCTTTTAGACTTGTTATGCACGGGAAGTCCGTGCAGTGGAATGCCTAGGAGTGGGTATGAATTTTTGGGAATTCAGGCTTTTTTCGTGGCAGACGTTCGCGGGGCTGGTTTTATTCAAGCTTTAGCACTCCTACTTCCGAGTAATGCCTATTAATTTAGTTATTATTTGAAAGAAATATTCGTGTACTTCGGTAATTAGAGCTTTACTAGTTTTTCTGCACGCCATCCCCTCCATTCGTGGGAATACTGGCGAATTACTGGGAATTACTAGAATTTTCGGTATGAGTTGTAGTTGCTGTTCATATGGGTTAACGCTTAGTTGTATGTAAGTTGTACTGTTTTATTAATTGTTTTCGGTGTCAATTTCGTGTAGTTGATTTGTAATCCTTTATTACAGTTGCAGTGTTGAGTTTATCACGGTCAATCTGGCTGGGATTAATTATGTTGAAGAGTAGTTTGAAATTTAGTAGTTGAATTTAATTATTGAATCCAGACTACTCCTGAGATCCGGGCGGTCTAGGGCGTCTAGGCAGTACGAGAGTAGCTCGTTTCCCGTTTGGTGTTTCTGCGGCGTGCTTACAGTCAACATGCTTTTTGTTGGTGGTCTGCGTTCACCCCATCGAGAGATATACTTTTTGTTTGTTTCTGGGAGATCATGGAAAATAGGCATTCGCGACGAACTTACTTGTTAGCGTTTGGTTGTGGAAGATGTCTTCATAGCGGGTATAGCAGCCTGCATGCTTATTCTCTATTATTATCTGACTATTTATAGATAGATTGCCTATTGTCTCTGATTTCCTGACCAGCACAGATCGGGATCTAGGTTCGATAAGGCTTGATTGCAAATTCACTGTTATTATCTGGTCACCATCTAGCGCAGTGTCACCACAAAATAGAAAGTAAAAGACTTCAAGACGATCCTATGCCCAATGCACAACATCACAAAAAAGACAGGTACGGTTCAGAAAAAAATAGCAGCTGAGTTATGTTAAAACTATCTTTGGCTTACTATTATTTTTTCTGTATGTTGAAGCAGTCACATTTTAGTCATCACGGTATTTTTCATTCATACTAAATACATACCATTCGCAACACATACTTATAGGTGTCAAAGCCCCGTACAACAAAAACAAATGGAAATGCTTTACAACAGTCACAATGCCTCGTGACTCACCCCGCCCCACAGATTGTATGAATGTGTGCTCCGGCACACATTCATACAACGTTTTTCTTTTGTGGCTTAGAAATATTCATATAGCTATCATATTGGACTTTAATATGTCTTCAAGAGACAAAGGAGAGAATGAAAGAGACTACTAGGGTGCTAGAATTATATTATAATAAAATGTATTCGTCTCACACATGTATGCTCATTGTAAAGCCTAGTAAAAGGAAATCTATTAACGTGAAGTACTCAGAATAATAATATAATAAATCCATTAAAAGAAGTAGTCAGATAATAATAGAGGATTCGTAAAGATACCCTATATACAACAGTACGCGTTACTCTCATCCCAGCACACAAAAAAAAAATTCTCAGCGAATGTGAAGTCTCTATTTTCAATATCAAATTCCCTGCGAATGCGTATTTTCCAAGATCTCGTTTCTGTGGCACCCTCATTGAGAGAGATGCCCTGTGTATGTATTTCCCAGGCACTCTCATCGAAATGTGAATAGTCGAACAATCGAATATTTGATCTGAATAATTGAGTAGTTGAATAGTAGAATATCTGAAGCCTCTTCAATAATCGAATTCAGTTTTCATGTTTGACATATGGAATTCCGTAGGATTGCAATTTTGACCTCACACTTTTCCCACATTAAGCCCTCAATTAGACTAGCTTGTGGAAAAAATGTCAAAATTATTGGACATAGTTTCGCCGAGATATGAATTTTTCAAAATATAGGCCCTTTTCCATAGATATTGAGTGACACATAAATATTTTGAAAAATTCATATCTCGGCGAAACTACGTCCAAAAATTCTGAAATTTTTTCCACAATCTAGCCTAATTGAGGGCTTAATGTGGGAAAAGTGTCAGGTTAAAATTGCAAAATACGATTCTGTTGGAAAACCAGGGTTTTATAGGGAAATTTGCGTAAAACTTGAATATCTCAGCAAAATCACACTATGGGCTCATATCCTCATAAGCTTTTACTAGTCTACAGGTCCCATACTTATGGGCAAACTATGGGGCCAAAAGCGAGGTAACAGTTGGAGACTTTCCATGCTTAGGTCCACTTTGCCCTCACCCTCAGACAGTTTTCTTCTTCATCATGAGGTTTTTTTTTCATCTTTTTTCTATTTACAGTTATCTGTTTTCGTTCAGAGATCTTTTGATTGCAATGCCAATGGCATCATGATAGTGTGCTTTTGGTTATCTTGACTTTGATTGCTTGAGACTATTGTTGCAATGAAGTTAAGTTTTTCCATCTTATATGCACTTTCTGATGATATACATATACGGAGCTGTATATCTGAGCTGTTGCTGCATTAGTTTTGGTTGTCCTGCAAGTTGGCGTGCGCAGTGCTTGTTTAACATGCACTTTAACATGCGAAATGATCATCCTGATTGGCAGCAGGTAATGTGACTGGTGTTGCTTTCTGAACTGGTGACTTTGTAAAAGAGAGGCTGCGGAGAATCTGTTATTTCATTTATTTTCTAGGACAAGTATGCTGAAGAGGAAAACTTCGTGCAGTGAATAATACTCATTTCGTTTGATATATGTTTCATCATCGAGTGTCAAATGTTTTCATCGTTAGAACCTAGGTTTTACATTATAATGAAGAATCTTTCGAAAATGTTCTTTTATGTGAAAATAAATGATGCGTTGGCCAGTCTGTGTATTAGAATAAAAAGTATTGCATTGAAATATGTGATCCTTCAACCTATATAACATATCAGGTAAGAATTAATGATCTGCATTTATTCAATGTTTCGATTATTTTTATTATTCCTCTTTAATTGTTATGTGTGGACAGCTATACTTATTTGTATTGATCAAGTTTCTGATGAAGACTGAAACTCACGACGACGGACTTTTCTATTATGTAGTCGTAACTCTTGACAAAAGAGGTTTAATCAAGCCTTTATTCATATTAATGTTTTATTTATATTTACATAGAAAATTAGTAATGTACAAGTTGAAGATAAGAGCGCCTGATCAAAATAAATTTAAGAGATAAATCGTTTACCCGTAAACAAATTGGGGTATACGTGCTAACATTTTCTGCTCTTTGTAATCTGTAAATTCTGATTGTACAAAGAAGTACGTGGTGTAATGTCTGGTGTTGTCTATTGCAAATTTGGCACCATCTGATTGACCTTCTATTTCCGGATCTTCGTTTTCTTGAGCCTTTGTTTGATTCTTATCACCCAAAAGTAGATTGTTTGCCAACCGAGAATGACCTATCATACGTGAGCCAACTGAATCAGCACTACTATGGACTTGTACTTCAATGGAATTGTTGCTCATCATTCGAAATGCATCATCATGTTCTTGCTGTTCATGAAACAACGTGTTCTGATGCTGTTCGTTTGTATGTGTCGGCTCATCTAATATTCGACTTTGATCTTCTTCTGAAGGAAGATCCATATCCTTGTTTGCCAACAAATAATTTTCTTGTTGTTGAGAAATAAGAGATGATTGTTCACCTTGATCATTTTCTCCATCAAATGATGCAGGTTGTCGTCGATGGATGTCGACATAAGATGAAATTGGTTCTTCGTTGTCACTTTCTTGAATCTAAATTTAGTATTATTAATTTCCGCTCGTTGTTCTCTTTTTGAAAGTGCAATATACAAATAAAGCATCCGTCCGTGTAAGGCGTATTTCCATCCCAATAATAAATTCAGTCTTCGATATCTCGGCAAATTCTGCGTTAAAGATAAAATTGGTAAATGTCGAGATAGTCAGCAATCATATTTATATACACATGAGCCAGTTTAAATTATAAGAAAAACACAGTGGCAAAGAGCATAGTTTTTCAAAATAAAAAAATTTTCTGTCTATTTTAAGAATTTAAGTCGATATCATTCCACTCGCCATAATAGCACGTAAAAAGTTCAGCATCGGTTTTGGAAAATACTGTTCCGTTGTTGAGAAAATTATTTTTTTGAAACAGGCAGCAAAAAAACAAGGAAATTCATTTGTATTTTGCAGTTTTCACCGTCAAACTTCCATTTTTTGCAAAATCAATGTCATATTTGTGATCAGCATCAACAACTGAATTGACTGATGTGTGTCTTAGGATTTCAGACAATCTTTCAATTTTCCGCAAAAATCTCGGTCTAAAAGTTCGAAAAAATGAAAGTTGTCCGAAAATCCTGAGACACATATCAGTCAATTCAGTTTTTGATGCTGATCTCAAATACGACATTGATTTTGCCAAAAATAGAAGTTTGACGGTGAAAACTGTAAAATAGAAGTGAATTTCCCTGTTTTTTGCTACCTGTTTCAAAAAAATTAATTTTCTCAACAACGGAACAGTATTTTAAAAAACTGAGACTGAACGTTTTCCGTGCTATTATGGCGAGTGGAATGATATAAAAGTATTGGCTTTACCTCTATGCTAGAGAGACTTGAAGCTTTTTGCCTCAACATGAACGGGATTTTGGCTATTGGTGAAAAACCAAAATTTTTAGATCATATCATACTTGAATAGTATCGAAGCACTATTTTTCAGATTCAGCTTTTCACGGAGAACAAGAATAAAAAGCTTCTAAGGTTCCAAAATCCAGTGTGTTCGAGTTTTACACTCGTTTTTAAAAATTAAACTGTTTTTAAAATTTTAAAATTTTCGGCTTTTTTAAATTTTCGATATTAAAATTTTGATTCGAAAGGTTAATACACAAATATTCTTGTTCAGTTCGTCGAGCTCTATCCAACCGTGCATAAAAATCGCAAAAATAAAAAGTGCTTCTGTTTTGAATTTCCTTAACCTTAAGACAAAAGTAATTCTAAACCAGGTTATTCACAAAAAAGAATGTTTTTGGTCAATTAACTGAATGATATAGTACATTATCCGGTTTATTAAGTAATAAAGCCGTATAGTTTAACTTTTTTAAAAAAAAATAACATCAGATTAGGACTCAACACAGTCGAATACGTATTTCTATCTATCTCCGGAATTGATTTTGCTCAAAAACGGTAACTCGATATATAGTCAGTTGCGGAAGTTTTGACCCCCGCCGGTCCATGGAGAAGTGTTTGTCAGAAAACTGAAACGGTCATTTTGCGCAAAATTCAACGCAGAATTTTTCCAGATATCGAAAACTGAATTTATTCTTAGGATGGAAATACGCCTTGCACTGACGGATCCTTTACCATTGGTGAAATTTCTTCCAGTTGAGTTGTATGATTTGAGGCATCGAAAGAACTGTTGATAGATATTTCTATATAATTTTCATTCTAAATATTGAAAGGAAAGATTAAGTTAAGGTACAGCTGCCAGATGGTTTAGCAGTTAACAATATTGGTAACATTACCACTCGTGTTTTTTTGCCAAGCGATTGACAATGTCATTCGAATTTAAACGCTTTGTGTTGTGTGTTGTAGTATTCTAAATGCAATGGAAATTATATCATGGAAAATTATTAAGAAATCTCCAAATATAGATTCTTGCGATACGATGGCTTGATATCTATTATTTAGCCTAATAAGCATATTTATTAACTGAATCATTTTTTGAATGTCTGTTTACGTTCGTAAATCGTACTTGGAAAAAAATAATTCTTTGAAAACTATGATGTACTGTAAGGAAACTCAGATTATATAAACAGAAACCTCAACCTCTGAATATGAAGTTGATTGTTCATCTTGATTTTCATTGTTTCGATCATTCAAAGCATTGAGCAAAAATTTTGGAGGCTGTTTAGATTTAGAAGCTTTGGTCTGTGTTGTCATACGACGATTGCCAGCATTTCTTGTTTTAACGGGCATCTGAAATAAATAAGCAAATTTTCCATATTCTATTGCATTCTGCTAGCTTCATTCCAAAGAACTAGGATTTAGTACGTGAAAAGCAAAAAAATAAGCAAGTTACAATAAAAAATAAATTACAATACAATCATAATTTAAATGAATTTCTACTGAAAACTAAATATGCGCATATAACGATTGGAGTTGCTATTATTCCATCAGAAATTGCAGATTTAGACAATTGAAATATCAAAAAACTGGTTTGAATTTGTCCCATTGAGGATCCTAGAAGTTTTAATTGTAAATTTATTTTACTTAATCAATATTTACGTACTATTTTTTTTATATACTAACTTTGTTTCTTGCTACATCCGATCCATAAGGATTAATTTTTTTTACAATACAATTGCGCCCGTGCATGAGAAAATAGAGCACCAAAGTTGAACGTTCGTCGTTCATTCTGTTGAACTGATTGACGTATTTCTTTAACACCGAGTTTGCTTGTTCGCAGGATTGAGTATTGTTAGCTTGCACAACTGGATTCCTAGTTAGGAAAATAATATAATTAGGTTATTCCTAATCATTTTGGCATTAGAATTCCAATAAACTGTATCTTGATAATTTTTAATTAATGGTAAACATGTATCAAATGAGATGTAAAGTCTTAAATTCTTAAAATAGAAAGAAAATTTTTTTATTTTGAAAAACAATGCTCTTTGCCTCTGTGTTTTTCTTATACTTTAAACTGACTCATGTGTATATAAAGATGATTGCTGACTATCTTGAAATTAACCAATTTTATCTTTTACCTTGATATAATCTTTATAGACAAATTTAAAAGGTCAACCAAATATTAAACAAAAGTTGTTGTTTTTCCATTTGTTGTTTTGAGAAATGGCGTAGATATACATATACTAAAATTTTGGCACTTTCCGCAAATGTTGGGCACATAAAAGTAAAGTTGTGAAACTTGTCTTTCGCCGCCATACCTCAGCTTTCTGGAGTTTTCTAGAGACCAACACTCAAAATGGGCCCTCTATCCGCGCAAATTCTTTTTCACTATACTTCAAGGCACAGAACCCGGGATTATTTTATTTGAAGGAGAGCTGTTTACCCCTTCGGATGAGGGGAAGGGATTTTTTTATTCTTGCTTTTTTTAATTTTGGAGAGCGCCGAAATCTCTAAAACCTTGAGATACCATCAGTGGTGTTCCAGATAGACGCGATTTTGTACAGAACTAGAGCTTAATTAAAAAATACCTTCCCTTCATCCGAAGTATCGAGTGCTCTAATAAATAAAACAACCGCACCTCTTTATATAAACTATATTTGAAAAAAATTTCCTCCACGTTTGACCACTAGTACAAAAATCGATTTTGAGAAAAACGCTAACTCTTTGTACACGAGACACGCTAATTAACGCTTTTTGAATAACCAACAAAGATAGAGATCTGAAGTTTTCAGCAATCGAAAGAAAACAGTTTCGTGTATGTTTTCTTAAGCAAAGTCCTTTTCGAAAAATACCAGAAAGATCGGTTTTTTAGGAGGTCTTTAGGAAACCAATTTGGATCTCCGGATACTAAGATAGCGATCTACCAGTTTTTTTTCATATTGATATAGTCCAAAGTATTCTCTCCAAAACAGAAACTAAACAAACTCTTAATTTGTCCTGGTTCAGGTGTGGCATCGGAGTTCCTATGACTCCCAGGATCAATTTCTTTAAGTGTGGTAATTCCGAAAACGAATGGAAACATAGGTAATCAACCACGCTGAATCTCATGTCAACATTAATTTTTCAAATAAGTACCCAAAATCTAGTGAAAATCTATATGAGGTGAAATAACCCATTTTTGCCTATTTTTGAGTAAAACTAAAAAATTCATAACTCAGTCAAAACCCATCCAAATCATGTTGGACTATCAAGATGCACTCTATTTTACCTGCTCAATGTGATCTTTTACTTAAAAAAATAACATCAGATTAGGACTCAACACAGTCGAATACGTATTTCTATCTATCTCCGGAATTGATTTTGCTCAAAAACGGTAACTCGATATATAGTCAGTTGCGGAAGTTTTGACCCCCGCCGG